CTTAATCTTTCTGATAAGGAAGCCTCTTTGGCTGACAGTGCAAGGATTAAGTGCATAGGAACCTTGCGCAAGCTTTCGGAGGGAGACCTGGTCATGTAGGAGATGAGATGGTCCATTGTGCATAGGGAATGGAGTGAAATCAGGAAGAACTCTCTACCAATGTCTCTGAAATTCTTGAGGTAGTTCTAGTTCTCAAACCTGGGAAACAGAGTTAGCTTCGCAGACATGTGACTTGTGCGGTCACATAGAGCTTTGAGTTTAGAGGGGCCCTGCAGCTGTTTTCTCAATGGTCACTCTAGTCTTAATAATTTTTTTTTTTTAATAAGGGACTCTGCATTTTCAATTTATACTGGACCCTGAAAATTATGTAGCCTGTTCTGGGGAAAAGGGTTATGAAAGAGACAAAAGTTCATCAGCTGCTTTCTTTTGGTCTTTGTGAAAACATGATACCTGGCTGGAAGAGCCATGCTTGGGCCTCTTCTGCTCTCTGCAAAGGTTTACACAGATATTCACCATCTAGAAACCTACATTCCCCTTCAGCATCTACTCTCCCTTCTCTATTTCAGGAAAACACCCTCCTCCAAACCTTTTTAGCTGCATACATGGATGCCCTGTCAGCAATTACATTTCCAAACTCTCCTGCATTTACATGTGTCCATGTGATTTTATTTGGACCATTGAGATGTAAATAGATGTGCTGGGAATTTCCAGGTTATTGCCTTAAAGATAAAGCCCAAGAGACTGAACTCTTTCTTTCTCCTTCTCACAGGCAGGGGAGGCAGATGTGCTGGTGACCCAGTTTTGATCATTTAGTGGAGGACGACATGCTAGGGGAAGGCAGAGCAAAGAGTAGAGGGAACTCACGTCCTTGCAAGACCTCCTGAATGAGAGTCCCTCTGCCACCATGGACCATTCACCTTGGGTCAAGCATTTGAAAGAGGAATAAATCTGTATTCTGGAGTGTCTTTGTTACATCAGCTTAGCCTCTGCCCTAAGTAGTGTTCAGCATAAATTCTTGTGAGCTGATTTACAATAAATTTCTGTTTATTCAGAATAGTTGAATAATAGTATTCCAAGCACTGAAAAATTCTACATAGGGAGAATTATTAATTTGCATTAAAATGACATAAAACTATGTTGAACCAAATTTTATTTCTGGTGATTCTCAGAAGTTGTCTAGGTCTTGCAGAGCCTCAAGGTCATCATTATGAATACTAATTATAGTATCTGTCAATAGATTCTGGGGCTTGAGTAAATCTGTAATAACCCTATGACAAACTCCTGAAACTGCACTTTCAAAATAAATTCCCGAAGCTCTCTAGTTTCATTGTAATTTATCTCCATTATGAAAAAAAGATGATAGAATATTTAAAATAGCTTTTGCAAATTTTGTCATTGTTCGAAAACAATATGTGCACTTATATGCTTCATAAAAAATAACACGACAAATATAATTTTACTTTTCACTTCTTAAAATTTTTCAATGACTAAAACTGCTTAGATTTAAACTAGTGTGCTGATAAACCAGTTACAAAGCCGCTAAGGAATCGTATGTTCAAAACTGTAGATTTTACATTTACCTGCCCCAATGACTCTCTCAATGCGAATTCTTGAGGGATCAATCTCCTTGGCAAATTCATGGACTGCTAGGGATGGGTCTTCGTATGTATCTGGATCAATGTAAGTTTTAATTCCTGGGAAGCGCACTGCAACAAAAATGAAAAATTGATTTAAGAGTATGTTAGTAGTCATACATCTTTTGAATATTTAAAGTGGAAAGCGACATACTGAAGTAGTCAGTCTTATCAATTCCTTAATTCCTCTCTTCTCTTCTTGCGCCACCCTCTGCCCCCATTAAAGCTTTGACTACCTGTGATCAAAATGTTATTTCTGGCCAGGTGCAGTGCCTCATGCCTGTACTCCCAGTACTTTGAGAGGCTGAGGAAGGAGGATCACTTGAGGCCAGATGTTTGAGACCAGCCTGGGCAACATACTGAGACTCACGGTGGTACATGCCTGTAGTTCTAGCTACTTGGGAGGCTGAGGCAAGAGGATCACTTGAGCCCTGGATTTCGAGGTTTCAGTGAGCTATGATCATGCTACTGCACT